GTCCTTATGACAGTGGTTGTAATTTCTATTCAGAAATTTCCTCCCTACTTTTAGGCTGGGGTTCATTTTTGGGAAATTATTTTCCAGCACCACTTTTATTCCAATAGACGCGTCTATTTGAATTTTTTTTTAATGCGTTGCTCCCACCCGGCCAGGGCGTAAGCGATCATATTCTTTATATTTAATATCTGTGAATTGCCATGCCTTCTTGGAAACTAAAATGGTGGGGTTTCCCGTGGTCTTTTCTGCAGTTTTCCATCACTTAAACTGATCGCCACCCAAGGCTAGAGACCCCAGTCTACCTTGCTGTTTAATTCGCGACAGGAGTGGATACTACAAGAAGAGACGGATTTATGGTTTTTCCAAGGGAATTTATGCGAAATTGAACGCAACAGAAATTGAACTCTTCTTGCCGATTTCACTCTCTGCGTCGATATCCTTTACACTACCCGCACACCCTCAGTTAAAATGTTACTCTGATTTTTGTGAGCTCCTTCTACGTGATGGGTATTACGCCATGCGATTATTGCACATGTGTCTCTGCTTTTTGTGGAGTTGTTTCTTGGTTATAAGAAATTTTCTTTGTCAGTTGTATGTAATTGTGTGTGTTGAGATATCTGCGTTCTGTATTTCAACACTAACGTACTGATAATGAGCCAGAGTACAAAGGCATATACACAATAAAGACTATCTTAGTTTATAGCTCGAAGGTGACATGGGATTCACACACACACACACACACACACACACACACACACACACACACACACACACACACACACATACATACACACACGTAACGTAGAATTTTCAACTAATAAACTGTAGATTTTAACCAAGAAGTCCTCTACATCCGACAACAAGGTCCCTGACTGGGAGATGGGAAGTTTTTAGAAGCGTAGAACCACCTCTTAATTGCTGCTGTTCCCATGTCTATCATGACCCTGGGTGGTAGCACCTGTTAGGGTCCCAGCTACGGGCAAATAATGAACTCCCAAACAAAAGCAAAACATTATGAATGTATAAAAAAACATTTTTCCAATAAAAACACCTGTAATACAATTTTATATATTAAAAAGTTACCAAACAAATTTGTAGTAAATTACCAATAATACATTTTATTGCAAAATGACCAACAAGACATTTTATCTGTATACAATTGCGTTCAAAATATGATATATTTAGTTGAAAGCATAAAATTTTTCAAAATATTTAAATTCCGACATTAAATAAACTATTGTGGTTGATATGCCACTAAACAAAATTAACCAACTAACGAACCGACGTAAAAGAACATTTTTATGACATTAATCCATATAATAAATTTCAATTTCTTAAATTAAACCCTATTCCAAAACAAAAATGCAACATAAAACACACATATCATCGCATTTAGGAATCATGTTTACACAAATATATATAGGGGTTGGACAAAATAATTGGAACAGTTGCAAAATCCACTCCTATATTTCAAAGACCTATTATATTAAGAACTTTAACTAAAACTTCGTAATTGCAGGTTATATCTATTGTAAATACATTTATTTATCTAATTTATTGTCTTTGTCTTATTTATTTTTAGAATTTAGTAAAATTTAAGCTAAATGCGTGACCTTTCCGAGTTCGAAAAAGAGAAAATTGTTGGAGCTCGCATGGCAGGAGCCTCGATCACTAAGGTTGCTGAATTGTTAGGTTTTCAAGAGCTACCATATCAAGAACACTGATGCAATTCGAGAAACAGGGCAACACCTCTAGCAACCGTAGCAATTCGGGCTGGACTTGCAAACTTACTGACAGGGACTGACGTGCATTGAAACGCAATGTGGCAAAAAATCATCGGACAAATGCGGCCAAAGTGACTGCTGAGTTGAATAACCATCGGGATAGTTCAGTTTCTACTAAAACAGTTCACCGTGAGCTCCATAAGGCTGCATATCATGGAAGAGCCACTGTGAGGAAAACTCTTCTCTCTACTCGCAACATTCAAAAGAGGTTGAAGTGGTGCAGAGATCACAATGCCTGGTCTGCAGACCAATGGAAGCACGTCATATTCTCAAACCAGTTTTTCTCTTTTCCCAACTTCAGGGCGAGTTTATGTGTGGAGGCAGCCCAAAGAAGCTTACAACCCCAACTGTCTTCTTCCAACAGTGAAGCATGGAGGTGGATCAGTGATAGTTTGGGCTGCCATATCATGAAAATGTCTCAGTCCAATAGTTGCCCTGCATGGTAGAATAAACAGGCAAAGATTACCTGAACATTTTGGGAGATCATGTTCATCCAATGGCCACGACTTTATTCCCTGATGGTGACTGCCTCTTCCAAGATGATAATGCTCCAATACATACCGCTCGAGTGGTTAAGAAATGGTATGAAGAGCATGAAAGTGAGCTAGAACACATGGAGTGGCCTCCCCAATCTCAAGATATCAATATTATTGAACATTTGTGGTGCATTTTGGAGCAACAAGTTAGGAGCTGTTATTCTCCACTGTTGTGTCGTAAAGAGCTGGAGAAGGTTTTAATGGAAGAATGACTGAAAATTCCTCTGGATGAAGTCAGGAAGCTGTATGATTCCATTCCTAGACGTATTAAAGCTGTCTATGATGTTAAAGGAGGACCAACACCATATTAAATAAATTTTCTTTGAATTTAACAAGTGTTCCAATTATTATGTCCAACCTCTGTATATGTACAAAAGCGGTGTATCATCTACGGTGTATTCAGTTGTGAAAGCATAAAAAACTTAATATTTTTATTACATCAAAGCGCACACTTAAGGAGTTGATATGCTATTAAAAAAAACAATCAATCAACCAGGCGAGCAAAATACCTTAACTTTCCTTCGATTTTACGGTCACAACCTCGATGCAATAATAAAAATGTAGATCCCAGCAAACTTGAATGAACTTGTCCAATTTGTGCCCAGCAGAACTGTTTTAAACCATAGATATTGATAATTACAGTATTCGGAAAAGGTATGGATTATTTTCATTAGTTCAAAGATATTGTTGTCGTGCCGGCTAGTGAGAATGCAACCGAATCTCATGGAGGCACGATGGAGTAATGGATAGCGGAACCGGAGGGCCGAGTTCGAAATCCAGTCAATTCCATTACATTCACTTACGTGCTAGTACCTTTGGGAAAAGTATGAAACCTCTTATCAGAGCAGACCGGGTTCTATAGCCTTAGATGGCAATTGCTCTACCGCAGAAAGAAATGACGGGGCAATATCTGCCTCGTCAGTCATGTATCGAAAGATACATGATCGCCTAAGCGTGTATCACGCATGGCACATAACCGACTCACTGAACCGAATCTCTCATCCGTAACGTTATACTGTATTCAACCACTGTATTTTTCTAATTATTGTCGCCCAGTGTGAGCTGCTCTGGGCATCCGAAACGTAGATTTTGCGATCTCTGACAGAGACTGTCCTTTTACGCTAGGGTTGGTGTCTCTGTCAAGCGGATCTTTCCTGCGCGTGCATTCAAGGTGCAGCCTAGCTGATGACGTGGATCTGAACTCGACGGTATCCAGGAGGTCATCTATCAGGCCAGCGCCTCACGTTTCTGTGAGGAAAACTGCGTCTATTCTAGCATGATCTGGGGTGAGGCACATGCTACATTAGTTAGCAGCGTTATTAAACTGGCATTGACGAGATTAATTGCGCCAGTAGTGGAAGATTATTAGAAATTAGTTGAACCCTAAGATCGTCCATTGTTGCTTTTTTTCTTCACTCTTTTTCCGTATCTTCACGTTCTCTCTCTTATCCCTTTTAATTTTCATTGACCTCCCATGTTTTTATATAAATATAAGAAAAGAAATAAAATACACAAATAATTTCTATTCTATACTCTTTTTTAATCTTTCTGTTGCTCTATCTCTGTATTAAGAACATTAACGCATCATGGAAACATGGTGGAGTAATGGATAACGGCTCGGATTGAGGAATCGCAGACCCGAGTTCGAATTCCAGTCGAATCCATTACATTCACTTACATGCTAATACCCCTGGGAAAGATATGAATTCTCTTCTTCTTCCCTCCCCATGGACAGACCGTATTCTCTAGTCCTGGTCTACCGCAGAAAGAAATGGCTACCTACAGCGCGAAAAAAATTGCATCGTCAGTCATGTATCAAAAGATACATGATCGCGTGTCACGCATGGCACATAATTGACGTCCTTCTTTCCCTATTTATATTTCATTTTTTTTCAGTCCATTGTCACTTGATATTCAGCCAGCAAGGCTGTCTCCTTTTCTCTTTCTTTTATTCTTCATGCTTTCCCCTCTCTCTATATTTATAGAGATATATTTTTCCATTCACCTAGTTTTTATGACCTATATTTCCTCTTTTCTCAACGTGTTTTCTCCTTACTCTTCTCCCTCAATATTTGCACTAATATTCTCTTTTATATTACGATGTATCTTTCTCAATCAGAAAACGTAGTTGGTTTCATCACAAGAGTGAAGGACAGTGACAGATACTACACAATGATCTTCACACTCGAGTAACAGAATAACAGCACACATGACAACACATCTATTTTTAATTTGGTTTTACAAAGAGAATAGATTTAATACAACGTATCATTAAACAAAACGTCATAAATTTACCGTAAATTGCGACATACAAGTCGAATTGTCTGAGGCATATACATAAGACCATCTTAAGTCATAAGTCACTTTTATAAGATGATTTTAATTTATAACACCATCTTAATTCATAAGTTATTTTTCTAAGCGATACTTAAATCAATTTCTTAAGACCATCCTAAGTTCTTTTTTCTTGTTTAGTTTCTATAGTCTTCTCATTCTCTTTCACTACTAGTAGTTCCTTACGTCTTAGTAGCATTATTGCGTTGCTTGGGGTGAAATGATTTTAAAAAATCATATAAGACAATTTTAATTCGTAATTCATTTTCACAACAACATCCTAATTCATAAGTGAGTTTTATAATCAAATCAATTTAAAAGTCACTTTTTAAGACCATCTTAATTCATGAGTAAGCTTTCGTGAGACAAAAATAATCCATAGGACAATCCTGTTCAGAAGTGATTTTATAGTATGATTTAAGAAGGACTTATATAATGACTTTCCTAAATTATACGCCATTGACATAAGACAATCCTTAATGATGACCGTCCTTTTCTATTTTTTAAACTTGTCCTGACCAATGCCTTTCCTAAATTGTATTATAACAAGAAACTCATGGAGATTCGACGAAAAGAAAAATATATTGAGTCCACAGGAATGTAGTTCGTTCGAGCACTTCCCATGGAAGTAACGATAGAGTAGTAAGAGGCTCGCCACATCCCATCTGTGAGAGAAAGGTTTGAGAGTGCAAAATAATACGTATAGTTAGTACATGCCTACATATAGTGAGTACACTCCTACGGAAAATGCTAATTAAAATAAATAAAAGTCGTTCAGTAAAATGTCAGCGTTGAGAAAAAATGGCGAATAAGTTATTTGTCATACGTTGACTATTTTACTATTTATTTTAGAGCGAGGTTTGGAGAAGTAGCCATTTAAAAAAAAAGTCGGTTAATATATTTGAATTACCTTTGCTACTTCAGCAAAATAAAGATTCCGTTTCAATATATCAAGATTAATAGCTCCATATTTCCAATATTTTAATATCTATCTAGTTGTCTGTTTGTTCTTATCTATCTATCTATCTATCTATCTATCTATCTATCTATCTATCTATCTATCTATCTATCTCATTCTTTTCATAACTATCTATCTATCTCATTCTGCTCATATCTATCTCTATCTATCTATCTATCTATCTATCTATCTATCTATCTATCTATCAGTCTGTTCAGATCGATCTACTGTAGTCTGTTCATAGCTATCTATCTATCTATCTATCTATCTATCTATCTATCTATCTATCTATCTCATTCTGTTCATATCTATCTATCTATCTATCTATCTATCTATCTATCTATCTATCTATCTATCTATCTCATTCTGTTCATATCTATCTATCTATCTATCTATCTATCTATCTATCTGTCTATCTATCTATCTATCTATCTCAGTCTGTTCAGATCGATCTACTGCAGTCTGTTCATATCTATCTATCTATCTATCTATCTATCTATCTATCTATCTATCTATCTATCTAAAATAATATATAATATAAAGAATAGAGTAGAAGAACTGACCACAATAACATGTTTTCAATTTTCAGCAAACAGATGTGAACCGAAATGCAACTGAACTTGTAGACGCTACCAAGCGAACAGCTTAACACCAAGCGCTACTCGACAGACACGCGCAGATAAAACCTCTTGATTACCAAGCTCTTTGCATAGGTCTATACTGCATTGAAGAAAGAATAGAATGTTATCGGTTGTTGCTGACATTTCAACAGCCATCTCTTTCCTCTTCCGGCCTTTGCCACATTGGATGCAGTTTCTAAGGCAACGGCTATGTCGATCTTCATCGGTAACACTTGAAAGAGAGAAAAGATATCAAAAGCTCAAAAGAATTGCAGCAAAGCAAGAAGTCCTTCTTATGTCATGATAACAAGTCAATAATAATAATAATAATAATAATAATAATAATAATAATCACAAAGGAAAAAAAGGAAAATCACTTTGTATATTTATAATACTTTTTTGTCGCTATAAATTTTTGGGGCGTTCTGTTAGAATCAGCTTTACAGTTTTGGCTTTTCTTTCTTTCTTTCTTTCTTTCTTTTTTTCTTTCTTTCTTTCTTTCTCACCCAATTTGTTCGTTCTGTTCCGATTTGTTCTTTTTCACTTTTATTTCTTACTTTCCTTCTTTCTTTATCTTTCGATTTTTTCTTCATTTCTTATTTTCTCGACCGATTTGGTCTTTTTCATTTTCTTACTCTCTTTCTTTCCTTCGCTCCTTCTTTCTCTTCCGATTTGGTCTCATTTCTTTCTTTCTTTCTTTCTTTCTTTCTTTCTTTCTTTCTTTCTTTCTCATCAGATTTGTTCTTTCACTTCCTATTTGTTCTTTTTCATTTCTTTCTTTCTTTCTTTCTTTCTTTCTTTCTTTCTTTCTTTCTTTCTTTCTTTCATTCTTTCTTTCTTTCTTTCTTTCTTATTCTATTTTACTTCCTAATCCGTTTAGTTATATATATATTTTTCTTTCGTTCTTTCTTTCACATTCCATTTTATTGTTATTTCTCAACCTTCTTTCTTTCTTTCTTTCTTTTTTCTCAATAATATTTCCATCGAAAATTTTCATTCTAACATCGTTTTGGCGACCAAAAAAAAACAGAAACACTGCTGATTTTTGTTTTCACCATTAACTTTGCCGAGTGGTTGTAAACATAAATATATGGCTGTTTGGATATTTTCAATATGTTGGTTAACTCCGGCGTCGGATAATATTGATTTTTTTTCAACTAATGACCGCCATTTATCGCGATCAGACTCAACACCATGCAGCGTCCTTAATCGAGAAATCAACAGTATAGAACTTCACAAACTATTTTGACATTTTCGATTATTCACATTAACTTCTCAATGAACTATACTAATCATTTTTTTCATTTGCGTTAGAGTTTTACCTTCCTTAAAGAAATCTATCTATGTATCTTATGAAATGAACTAAGTCCGATTATTATTTTAATGTATTTTATTGTTATACGTTATTCAGGCCGGTAAATGTTGTTAATTTTGTTTATTATAAATAGAACATTTACTTAAATATTTTGTATATAATAAATAACGTATAACTATATATATATATATATATATATATATATATATATATATATATATATATTACGTGTATTTAGGCAGTAATTTTTCATTGATGTATGTTTCATTAAATAATATATACAAGTTTTGTCTATTTATTTTAAGTAAGTTCCTTTCATATTGATTGTCTGATAAGCTTAATAACATTATCATTGAAAGACGAAAGGAAATCACCATATTGGTATATGTTTTAATCCTAAGCTTTCGGCTTACATAAGCCATTATGAAAGATGACAATTACATTTCAATATATCAAACAATACACGGACAAAACAATAATGATAGTCTGTTTTTGTTGCATGAAAAATTTCAAAGTAACGACAAACTCGTGTATACGAGACTCGGAAGCCGTTGGTATGAACAAATGATTTCTGTTATCAATTATAGGCATTTAAGAATATCTTTTCAACGCAGTTACACAACATCTTACTGAACAAATAAACCGCCAGCAGATTACAAAACGAGGAGATTTCTGATTACTTCCAAGCAGCATGGAACCTAGTATTATTATGGAACCTAGCCTTATCCAGTAAACACTAACGTCAACCATCGCATTGGAAACATTGTGATAAGCTATCAAATAAAAGTTTTTTAGCATTTTAATTATTGGCATTTATAATAAAAAAGAAAAACAATATTAAAATTATTTTTTCACTAATACCAAAGTGTTATCTTTCTGTGAAAATGAATTCAGTGCAATATTCGAAATTTAATTTGACAGTGGGGCGTTAACAAAAACTTTTTGCCTAAAGGGGGTCGCTGACTGAAAAGGGGCAGGAATCACTGTGCTAAAGAATTAATAGTTTTTTTTTAATCCGACATATTTTTATTAATGAAAACATGTGGATACCCATGTTTGAGCAGACGTTCTGTTTGGAAATTTATTAAAAGAAAATGTGCTCTCCGACACCTTTTGCAGAAGGAATCACCGTCTGACCCGGCGTGCCTTTACCGCTCGGCTACCAAGAGCTTCACTAACAAGCAAGGTGACGAAGAGCTTCACGAATAAAGTAGCCGAGTGATCCAACTTCCAAAATCTAGCCCATGAAAAGACTCTGGCGAGCTCAACGAATCCAAACATTTTGAAATTTGACCAATTATATGAGAATGTTAAGGCCAGATGAAATGAGTATTAGAGAATATTCTACGGTCAAGGTTAGATACTTCAACCTATTGGCTTGTGGAGCAAAAGTGGAAATAAAGGCTATGAGTCAATCATCAAATAACAAAAAAATGATTTCTGAGTCGAAGGATCCGCACATCCTTAAATTAATCCGTTGAAAATAAATAATTAACATTTTTCAACCAATGGGTCGCGTTCCCGCCGAAATGTAATGAAAATATTTATAGAGAAGTTACAGTGAAGCATTGTTAGTGATGGGGAAAGTGACTGAACCTGATATGACAAATCAGGACCAAAAACATTGCAGATTCTTCTTTGTATTTTTTTTCAAGAATTTCTAGATACATAACAGAGACACCAGATCAGATGTAGCAGCAATGAATGGTAGATTTACAAATATGTAAGATAGATTCTGGAGAGAAAGAGACAAAGCAATTGATTTAATATAATTCACTTAATATCAGCGGAAAACATTAGACTGAGAGAGCACAATGGCTCACTTAACGAGAAAATATTTAACGAAAAAACAAATGGAAGTTATAAAGATTATCTTACGTTATGACGGTTGCAAAATGACAAGCCGAGATGTCAAGTCAGTACTGATAACGTTGCAGATTCTTCTTTAGATTCTGTCAAGACTCTCTAGATACATGACAGAAGAACCAGATGCGGCAGCAATATTCGATGCACCGACAAATGGTAGATTAATAAATGTGCTCGATAGATTCTGACAAGAGAAGCTGTCTGACACAACACAGTGAACCAAAAGTTTCTAGCAACAGATCTAACAAGTGATACAATATAAACAGAATATTATTATCTTACGTTATGACGGTTGCAAAAATGACGGAAGCCGAGATGTCAAGTCAGTACTGATAACGTTGCAGATTATTCTTTACATTCTGTCAAGGTTTTGTTCTTTCTCTCTTTTATATATATATATATATATATATATATATATATATATATATATATATGAGATTAAAATAAAAACATGTTAAAAATCGCTACACAATAGCTTTCATGTTTCCCTGTTCAGGCGATACTAAATAACTTCAAAATTCAAAATTAGAATATCTCCTCTTTTTTCCGAAAGAGAAGAGAAGACGAGATAACAACAAATAAAAATTAAAATGAGGCTTGTGGGTATACCCTCATTACCCAATTAGGTGTCATACCTACGCCAAATTCAAAATTAACCTTAAAAAAATAATAACAAAGGTGGAGATTTTGGTCATGGTAAAATGTGATCTGAAATATAGTCCTAGACAAGGTCATAAGTGACAGACAAGAAATTGTTTGAAATTTAAAAATAATTAATTACTTATCAGTTATTTACATGATAGTTATTGTGTAGTGATTTTTAACATGTGTTTGTTTTAATCTCATATAATAAATAATATTCAGCCCTTTTTTAAAATTAAATGCTACAGACAGTGGGATTATACTCCATTCGTCTTAATATATATATATATATATATATATATATATATATATATATATATATTTTAACAGTTTTGTGACTGGAAGGATCATTCCGAAGAGGATATAAATGCAGAGAGAGCTCAATGTAGACTACAGAGCAGTATAATGATAATAAGAAGATGGAGACTTTAATTATCCATTTCGTTTATAAATTTTATTCGTGAACACCGAGATGTTCAACTCTTCAGAACGAAAGTGACTACCTCATGATATCTAGCACCAGTCAACCCAGTGTATAAACCAATTTACATGGTTCCAAAAATTAAGAAATATTCAGGCTACTACTAACCACTAATCCCTTAACCCTTTACCCATTCCTTCTCTCACACCTTCCCTCCTCACTACTAATCTAGTGTGTCCGTCCAGTGTACTTTGTCCATTTGCGGAGGAGAATTCATTTTTTCTTCTTTTGAAATAGACTCCTACTTACATTCTACATTTTTTATTTACACCCCAGTAATATATTAAGTTTATATTAAATTTGAGCTTTGAATCTGCGTTTAATTTAGCGTTACTCCCATGAGACCCGGTATATTTATTTAAATCAAAATTAATAATTCGAGCGAAGGTATATGTATATTTATTAATATATACTTCTTAGCTTTGTCTAACTACGTTTAGCATTGTTTTGTTTACACTTTATATTAAACTGAGTAAATATTTGTTTATTTACTTGTGTATGCGCGCTAACGCACATATATGCGGTTGCTAATATCTAGTTATTTGCTTTATCCACAATAATACATACATACATACATATATATATATTTAATTAATTCATCGAGTCTGATAGAAACCTCAACAGAATGCAGAAAGCACTGAGAAAGCACTGAACGGCCGTTTCGTCCTATATTTGGGATTCATCAGCAGTGTGCATCCACTACAGAGAATTGAAACCCTGGCAGTCAGGTTGTCAAGCAAACATCATACCAACTGTTCCACTGGGCCTCGGTGACGAAGAGATTGCAAATCAGACTCAACATAGCACCGCTCGCTCACATATTCCGTGGTGGAACTCTACTGAGTTCTCTCTAACCATAGGACTGTGCCCCCTGGAGCCACGACTACTCTCACCAAGCCGCTGACACTGGAGCATTAGAAGCCGGTTCAAGCGATGATAAACACAGATAGTAATTATTAGGAGGATTTGATAATTATATTTAATTAATTCATCGAGTCTGATAGAAACCTCAACAGAATGCAGAAAGCACTGGACGGCCGTTTCGTCCTATATTTGGGACTCATCAGCAGTGTGCATCCACTACAGAGAATTGAAACCCTGGCAGTCAGGTTGTCAAGCAAACATCATACCAACTGATGTTTAATATTTTATTACATTTTCAGATGTTGAGGAATGAGCTTGAAGTTGAGAATAAACTGCCTGAAGTTCATATTTTGCTATTTTCAGGTTCTTTCGAGTTTGGCAATTATTATCAATGTGGTGTCTGTGTAATTAGAATTTCTTTGTCCGTGCCTTGTATTCTTTAGGAATCTGGACGCTTGAACCGCACATATTATATTAGTATTATAAAGAAATTACATAAATAAATTAATTGATCAATTGAGTAATCGTCGTCGTCGGCATCCACTCGCATCTGTCATCCTTTTTCCCTATTCCCTTATCTCCGGTCCCGGAGATAGCCGTGAATCAAATAAAATTTAGCAAGGACATTCGTATGAATTTGGTTTTGGTAGACAACTCTTCGCGAAGAAGAAGCCTCACACTTGGACAGAAACACTGCCCTCGCGGCTCAAATGGGATTGTGACAGTCGAGACCTGGCAAACCTGGTTGCATCAGGCTGTCGGATACTTCGTCTATCAAGGTCCACTTTGGTTACGCCAGCTCGGCTC